GAGTGGGCAGACCCTGGAAGCAGAGCCCAGAGTTCAAAAGGAGGCTGGCGTGAGCCGAAGGAGTGGGGGGCCACACCCCACGAACTCCCTGCCCCCGCCTGCGTGTAGCACTGCTGGACCCAGTTGGGGTGGTCTGCATAGCCCCAGGGCAGACCTGGACAGTGAAACGGACCCTCAGAGAGAACCGCCCAGGGCTCAGCAGTCCTGCCGGCTCTGCCCCGTGGGTGGCGAGCCCTCCTCCACCGCAGCTGGACCAGGTCAGGTGACCTGCTTGAAGTCCTCTGGCACCAGACTGGGGGAGTGGGGCCTGCAGGAGGGCAGGCAGTTTGCAGGAGCCGGGGGCTCATTGAATGGGGTACAGCCAAGGGCTTGGGTTGACCTTCAGCCACTCCCCAAATTGTCCCTGTGGTCTGGACTTCAACTGGGTGGGGGTTATTTTTTTACCTTTGGCCGTCTCAGCGGGATAGGGGTGGGGGCGGCAGGGATGGAGCAGGTGGGGAGTGGCCACCCCGTGGCCTCGTTAGGGGACCAGCCTCTTTCCCTGTGGCCCCCCTCACCCTCCGCTCAGCCGGCAGGAGGCCTGGGGCACCTCTCAGCCCACCCTTCGCCCCCTGCCCGGGGCTGGGTGAAGTGGGGGAGGGCAGGGGGAGGGTCTTAGGGTGGGGGCCTCTGTGGTGTGTGCCAGGCCTGGCTGACATTTCGGGGTGGTGTTCCTCTATTGCATGCTCAGCGTGGGGTGTCCCCACTTCCAGATGGGGGAGCTGAGGCTCAGGGGCCCACAGCTGGCGGGTGGGTGGGCTTCCAGCCCAGGGAGGCCCTGGTGCTCCGACCACCGTCTGCCTGGCCAGGGGAGGGTGGGCAGGTGGCTTCTTTCCACCAGGAGCCCCCGGTACTGGCACAAGGCCACAGAGACTGGTGCCAGCACCTGCTCGCTGAGGGTAAACAGACATGCCAGGCGTCCATCTCCGGTGGGGAGCATCCCGGAAGCAGCAGAGAGGGCAGGACCGCAGGGCCAGTTGGTCCCACAGCGGCCGAGGGCCCCAGAGAGCAAAGGAGGCTTCTCTGTAGGGGGTTGGGCTCCCCCTCACCTCTGACCCTTCCACCCCCTCTCCCGGAGCTGCACATGGCGGAGGTGGGCTGGGCCCTGGGCAGCCTGGCCTGTGGCCCCCGACCAGGAGCTGCCCCAGGAGCCGCTGCCCCTCCCCAGGGCCCTCCGAGGCGGTGCCTGTCCGCCTGTGGCCACGTTGCTCTGCAGAACGGGCAGCAGCTGTGGGTGCTCATGGCGGTCTGGCTTTCCCTCCTGCTTTGGGGGTAGGGATGGGACCTCTGGGGACAGTTCTGTTGGAATAGGTCCTGGAGGCATTGAGTGGACAGAAATGCCTGTGGAGGCCTGGGGTCCCCCGAATGGGGCCCAGGCCAGGCATCACCAGCCAGCGGGGCGGCACCTCAGGGGGCACCCTCCTGTCACTGAGGTGTTAGTGGAGGCCACGGGGCAGAGTGGGGGTGGGTCCCAAGCCCAGCAGCCCCAAGCCTGGACCCTGGAGCTGCATGCACCCCTCTGAGCCAGCCGCCACCCCCAGTCGCTGCTCCTCCATCCCCACAACCAGAGGCCTACCTTGGCCGCCCAGAGGAAGCCTGGTGCCTGGTGCCCTGCCCTGCAGCCCCCAGACCCTGACCCTATCCTGGAGCCCCTCATGGTCACAGAAGGGGGCTGGCATGTCCGTACCTGCCTGTCCACCGCAGTGTTCTGTAGCCAGAATCAAGCCGGCACCTCACCCACAGCAGGACCCCCGGCCAGGCTCTCCCTGCCCCTGCCCACGTGCTGGCTCCAGTGTGTGGCTTGTTTGCTCTGTGGAATTAAATCCCCGCCTGTGGCCGCTCTGCCCTTCCTCATGGCCCTCCGGCCCCACCTCAGGCCGGAGGGTCCTGGCTCCCTCCGCTGGTCAGCACAGGCCGTGGTTGTTTCCAGGCCCCAGGTGTCTCCCTGGTGTTTGCACCAGAGAGCGGGAGGGAGGGGGCAGTCACACCTCTCGCCAAGGTTGTCGCAAGAACGAAATGCGGTGCCGACCTCTCGAGCTCCGGGAAGAGGTGGGCCGTGAGTGTGGGCTTGGAGTGGACCCACACAGGCCTCCCTGGCCGGTGGGTGTCTCCGAGGGGTGGTGGAGGGGACTCAGGCTGGGAGCTGGGAGTCAGGCGTGGGCCCGGCCTAGGCTCCCATGCGCCGGCCCTGTCAGCGTTTGGGTGTGACTGTAACTTCCCAGAGCCTCAGTTTTCTCCTCTCTGAAGTGGGCACAATGGTACCCTGAGCAGGCTGGTCGGAGGGCCTTGGGAGGGGTGCGTGTGCATGTCCACGCTGTGTGGGTACAGCTGGGTTCTCGGCCACTCCTGGTCTGTCCTCAGGCTGCAGGCAGGGCACAGAGAAGGGCTCCGGGAGCCAGAGCTGGAGCTGCAGAGGGCGGTGGCCCGGGTGCAGGACTTGAGTGGGTGAAGCCCAAATGCAGCCTCAGGGATCTGGAACTGCCTCCCCGAGCGCTGGTGGCCCAGAGGGAGGCCTCAGGGATCTGCAGGTGATGCTGGAGCGGGCAGGCCCTCCTCCCCTCAGGGTGCCCTGACTGCGAGGGAAGGGCCCGGGCGCACTGGTGACAGCGAGCAGTCTCCGAGCTGCCACGGGGCTCAGTGTCCTCGTGTGCAGAATGGCTCCTTCGGTGACACTCCCGACACCTGCTACTGTCTCCTAGGGGCGGGGGGCTACTGTGGTTTTGACTCCAGTAACCGACAGCTTTTGTAGATTTGGGAATTCAAGTCCAAGACCCTTTCTAGCCCTGCCGGTCTGTCTGGTCCTCGCCCCACCCACACAGACCCCCCGTCAGGGATGAGGGCACTAGGGAGCGGGAGAGGCCCGCCCAGGCCCCACCTGCCCCCTCCTCTGCTGCTGAGCCGAGTACTTCGTGCCAGGTGGCCCCCCGGGAGCCAGCTCTGTGGCCAAAGGTGGGGGTGACCTGCAGGAGGGCCGCCCCCGGGACTGGCACCCTCGGGGAGGCTGAAGGCTGGTTGTCCTGCCCACCCGCAGCCTGTGCGGCCCGGAGGGGCAGGTGGGCCATGGGCCTGGGGCCTGCGGCCTTCCAGGCCCGGGACCCAGCCAGCAGCAGTGGGAGACGCTGGGGCGCGCACGTGTGCAGGCGGAGGCGGGCGGGGAGCCTGCTGAGCACAGTGGGTTGCCATGGCAACCGCGCATCCCGGGGGCTTCTGCGGCTTCCTGAGGGTGCAGCTGCCGTCAGGGCCGAGTTAGGGAGTGCTGTGTGCTCTGGGTGGGAGAGCCTGGTGGGGGCCTACCTGGGGGTGGGGTGGTGGCGCACACACACACTCACACGCAGGCACCCCTGAAGCCTTACCTGTGGAGGCCCCAGGGAAGGTATGTCTCCCAGTCCCATGGGAGTGGGGGACGCAGCAGGGTTCCAGGGTCTCCAGGGGCAGGCTGAGCGGGTTTCCCCTGCTCTCCTGGCCCCTGGCCCCTGCTGGTCCCCACATAGCGGGCCTCTCTTCTCCGTGTGTGGGTGTCAGAAACAGGCTCAGAGACCAGGCTGTTGGGCTCACACTGCCTCCAGGAAGCCCTCTCAGATACCCCATTAGCTGGCAGCCCTGGCTTCCCATGGGGGAGCAGAAGACCGCGAAGCACAAGCACATTAGTCAGAGGTCAGCTGTCCCCCCCGGGGCAGGTGCCTCCCCATTGCTGAGCCTCTGTTTCCTCCTGTCCAGGGGAGACAGGTGTGGCAGCACCTCGGTGGCCAGTTAGGACCCAGTGAGGTGCTGCTGAGACCTGCTCTGCCCTGAGCGACCTGTGATGACAGGTGTGCTGGGGCAGGGCGCGACTGGGTCCTGAGGCATCAGCCACTGGGAGCTGACGGGTTGGGGTGCTAAGTGGGCAGAGGGGCTGGGCGCAGGTGGGAAACCTCCAGGGGCTGAATGGAAGGCAGAGTCCTCAGGGAACAGGGGAAGGGGCGTGCACTGGAGCCAGGCTCGTGCGACAGGAGGGCAGAACGGGGTGGAGCTGCCAGCCCAGCGTGCTGTCCGATTGGGACCCACCTTGCCGTCCTGTGGGCATCAGATGGGCCGAGCGTCCCCAAAGCCCCCGCTCTGCAGGGGACGGGGGCAGCTCGGAGCCCTAGTTTGTGTTTGGGGGCATGTGATGCCTGGGCACCAGCTTCCCCATCTGGTGCGGGGCAGCCGTGAGGTGGGGGCTCCCATGGACCAGGTGCTGTAGAGGGGGGTTCCCATTGTCCTCAGGATGGAAACAGCAACAGGGGGTCTTCGGTGTGCGCTCAGCAAGAGGGTGACTCGGAAATGCCGGGCTGTGTGGACGGACTCTGCTGCCTGACTTTGGGGACTGTGGGGTCCCCATGCCTTGGAGGTAGACAGGTCTTGTGTCTCCTGGCCCCGACCCCTAGCTGCCCAGAGCCTGGCACGTGGCCAGCAGGCGAGTCCGCAATCCCACTTAGTGGGGCCTGAGTCCCCCTCCTGCCCCAACTCCGGCTCTCCCAGCCCCCTCCCAGCGCTGTCCCATAGCTTTGGCAATGATGACAGCCCCTAGGGCATGCTCTGGAGGGGTGAGGTGGTCAGTCTGAGATATGTGGGAGGAGGTCCCCGTAGCCCTGAGACCCTGACCTCATGGAGGGGTGTCCAGGAGCCCCCAGAAGTGGGAGTCAAGCTGGCCTCGGCAGCTCTGCCAGCCCCGTGTCCCCGGGAGAGGCCAGTGCAGCACCCAGACTTGGGCTGCCATGGCCACCGCCCCGTGTGTCCACCTGCCCTGGGCCTGGTGGCCGTGCCTCCGAGTGTGGAGTCCTGGAGCAACGGTCAGGGTGCGAAAGCTCAGACCGCAGTGAGTCAGGGGGCTGTGGGGGTGGGAGCAGGTCTTGCTGGCCCCTTGGGTGCACCTAGGGGGCCGGGTGCAGCCCGGTGGCTGGGCCGCAGAGCCGCCCCGTAACCACTCTCTCCTTCGGCAGACGGCGCCCCGCTCAGCGAGCTCTCCTGGTCGTCCTCCCTGTCCGTGGTGG